CCCCGCCCCCGCCCCTGGCCCCGGCCCCGCACCCCCGCCCTTGCTCCCAGCCAACCCGGGCCCCATACCCCGCTCAGCCCCGCCCCCGACCCCGCGCCCGTGGCCACCCCGAGCTCACCAGAGGTGGGTGTAGCCCCGAGGGGGCCCGAGGTGGGGCCAAAACTCCCAGGACGTGCAGGCTGCCGCTGCGTACCCCCCTGTATTTTTGTTTTATTTTTTTTTGTAGAGGGGGGGGGGTTTGTCTGGAGCCAGGGCCAGGGGTGCCCACCGCCGGAGCCCCGCACCCCCGCCGGGGCCTCGGGACCGGGGCTCGATAACCGTGATATGGTTGCCTCTAACATTGAGATCGCTTGGCGCGTGCCCCTATAGGTCGAAGGAGATGTGGGTGAGGTGGTACGCGTCCTTCTCATTACCCGCTTGGTCTGAAGCCCGACAATCTAGTTGCCTCTAACATCGAGATCACTTGACAAGTGCCCCTACCGGGTGAAAGAGAGGTGGGTGGGGCGGTACTTGACCTTCTCGTCACCCGCTTGGTCTGAATCCTGGCAATCTGGTTGAGTCTAAGTTGTTAGGCTTCGATCCAAGAGGGTGACGAGAAGGACGCATACCGTCTTACCCAGCTCTCTTTCTCCCAATAAGGGCACGCATCAAGCGCTCTCGATGTTAATGGCAACCAGATTTGTCAGGCTTCAAACGAAGCAAGTGGCAAGAAGGACGCTTACTAGCTCACTCACCTCTCTTCCACCCAGTAGGGAAACGTCGGATAGGTGAGTTTCTTATGCACCTATACTATCTAGCTAGCCCCCTTTCTCACCATCCCTAAGTAGATGTCAAATAGCCTCTTTTATTTCTTGTAAGTCTTTTGCCGGGCTGTTCAAGTTGAGCGTCATCATTGGTAAGTTGGTTTCGGTCATTTTCAACACCCATTTAAGTTGGTTTCAACCATTTTCCGCACCCCTTCAAGACGCGTCTAAGGTGAGGGGAAACTTGCGAGGAGGGGTGAGGTCGTGGACGCAAAGGAGGGTTTGCCAACCGTGGACAGGACCCCCCTCGTGTACAAATGAGCATTTGAAGGGGAGGCGTACCCATGACGTTTGGTAACGTTTATGCATTTACTGCCTTCTTTAGTTGATGCTCCTTGGCTGGGGAGTCGGTCAAAAGCTACAAAACACCCACGGACACGTCCGCAGGGTTGAGCTCGGAGGGCGGCCATGATCACGGCTGCCGCGGCTCCAGCCGCAGTTGGGTGCGGCCGCGACTTTCAGGAATTTTTTTAGAGTGTAAAAAATTCTAAAAAAAAAAACAAAAAATACGGGGTTGTAGATCCTTTCGAGATCTAAATTGCGTAATTTTTTATTTAATTTTTTTACGTCTTCGAATTTTAAAATTCAAAAACTAGTTTTCCTGAGGCAAAAGCTGTTTTTTTTTTCTCAGGAAAAAACTATGAAACTTGTATGTTTTTTTATTTTAAATTCAGTAAAGTTTTTGGATATGACCACAAGGCAAAAGTTGTTCAGTATAGTTTTCTGCATAACATATTGTTCTTTTCTATAATTTTTTGATTTTTTTTTTTTTTTTTTTCATGGTCGCAAGCCATAGCCACAGGGTCGCGGCCTAGGCTGCACATGACCGCCTCCGGGAGGGATTTATAGGTCAAGAGTTTGGGTCGTCATCCCTACAATCGTGCAGGCAGATAGCTCGCACGAAGGATCAGCAACCCCGTCCTGCAATATACACCTTTATTTTTTTGCGGTAAAAAATATTTTTCAAATTCATCTTTTATTTTCACAGTTTTTTTTTTTTTTTTTTTTAATATAAGTCTCCATCCCAATCTCACATTTCTTCCTTTTTTTCTTCATCATCATCTTTGTTTTTCTTTTGCTTTTTTCTGGTCTAAAACTTTGCATGATAGTGGGTGTAGAGGTGAAAGGAGTGATTGCAATAATGGTTGATTCTCCTCCAAGCTACTCTTCTGTAAGTCCAATAAGTCTAGGCGTGACGAGTTCCTCCAATGGAGGCAGGGGCTGTACGAGCAAAACTGCTGTTCGGATCCGGCTCGGAGGTCATGCAAACGTCTTCCACTAGCACCGTCAGTGAACATCGACTATCAATGGTGGTTGTTATGGATATAGTTTTGTTTGTGAGCAGCACCAAGCCTGTGGATAGCGTTTGGCAAAACTCCGTGTTTGTCAGTTCAGCCAATAGGGATATGATTTTAGAGATTGCGATTTTCCATACCAACTTCTAGTTTGTCTTGAAAGCTCTCGGATATTTTTCTTGCTGTTTCGAGTTGTTGCTCTGCCATAATTCTTCCCCCTGATATTTTCCTAGTGTCCTCCCCCGTACGTGATGCATATGCAATCACTAATTCGAATCGAAAGCATGTGCGCTGTATTTGAACAGAAGGGTTGTTCAACGACAATGCACAATCATTGTATTCGAATAGAAAGCAACTTGTGTGTCGTATTCTTTTACAACGCATATGCTTAATGTCGGAGGAAAACGGTAATGAGGGGTGGAATTAGATCATCGATCGGCGTTCGAAATGGTGAAAGGAGGTTCGCAACATCCACTCTGTGAGCGTTTTACGACGAACTCCTACTCGTGTGTTCCTGATAAACGTTTTGGAAGGGGAAAGGAAGTTTTCGTATTGGGAGGGTGGATGCCTATATTTCCTGGGATGGATAGGACCACGGACCAACAATATTTCCACCTCCTTGGGTAGCACGTGCCTCAGCTGCTATCCACCCGAATAAAACACCCAGTCATTATCCCTGCATCTGGTCTACAAGTTACCCGAGATACAGTTGCAATGACCATGCGTACTATTTCAGTGAAGACGGAAGTGTGAGTTGGTCTTATCACATATATGTGCCCACAAACACATTTCACATTAAAGAGAAGGCAAAAACAGAGCCGAAAAAAAAAAGACAGGGCGAGAAAGAAGGTTAACAACAGCAGTATTTTTCATCATCACTTCAAGACACCCTTCAACACTTCAGAATGCAGCCTGCATAAACAGGTGGTTTTCAAGGTCTTCGGACCTTTCACCACTTTATGACCATTTAGGTCTGAAAATCATAAATGGTCCTGAAGTGGTGAAAGTTCCGAATACCCTGAAAACCACCTGTGTAGAAAGTTTGCATCCTCAAGTGGTGAAGGGTGGTTTTCATGGTCTTCAAAACTTTCACCACTTCAGGATCATTCAGTATTTTCGGACTGCCCAAAACTCTCACTTGACCACTTCAGGACACCTTTCACCACTTCAGGATACAATCTGTCTAAACAAGTGGTTTTCAAGGTCTTCGGACCTTTCACCACTTCAAGACCATTCAGGATTTTCAGACTGCCCAAGACCATTCAGGATTTTCAGACTGCCCAAAACTCGCACTTCAAAATTTCATTCCTGAATTTTCAGCTACCCAATAACCGCTTGTGGGGAGGGTGGTCAATTAACCCTTATTCGCTAAGGCCAGCACGTTCAGTTGGTGTAGAGACGAGTCTGGACAAAATAGTGTCTTAATCCCATATGCGTCACCGCAAGCACATCCACGTCAAGGAGAAGGTAACACAATGTGATGGTGACGGGAGGATGATGCAGGCAGAGCGAATGGAGGGAGAGGCAAGGAGGGTGATGACCTGACCCTTCTCAGCATCACATAGATGATCGAAAAGATGTTCACAACAAGGGAAGGCAAGGGTCATGGGAGGATGTGGGCAAAACAAATGGGGGAGAACACACGAGGAGGAAGGAGGGAGGGAAGGAAGGAGGGAGG